AAAAAAAATCTATGCTATCGCTGTTAGAACATTTATTTCTATTGTGGAAAAGCGATTTTTCAGTGTTTTTTAATATTCGTTAAAATTTTACTCAAAATTTTCCCCGACTACTTTTTTTGAACAAATAAACTTCAAAACCTATTCCATATTATTTGAAAATGTAGCCTGAATTATACCATACTTTGGTAATTTGAGGTTGATTTTCTTTGACACTTCAGAATGGCCCACCTCCTGGCGTGAAAGCTGTGTGCCGAACGAGCGGCCTCAATTTGTTTGTGCAAGAGAGCTTTGAGAAGGCAAAGGTAGCTGGGGTCACCCCTCAAGCGACCTTCTCAAAGCTCATCAAGAAGTGGAAGAGGCTGGAGAAGAAGAAGAAGGAAAGCTACAAGGGACGAGCCAAAGAAATCCGCCGGCGCTTTAGAGATGAAAACTAAGTTGTATACCATAGCATGTTGACATATTATTAACCGTTTATATTTCTTTTTGCCTTTATTGCTAATTCTTTTCTTATTTAATGTGGCCGCCTGACCCTTGGGTTCGTCGCCTTCCTGGAAGACGGTCGCTCCAACTTCAAGACTCTTGGACAAAAACGGCCCTTTTCAGGGCCAAAAACCGGCCCTTTTCAGGGCCAAAAACCGGCCCTTTTCAGGGCCACCCAAAATTGATCAAGTTTGATCGCGAGCAATGTTGAAAAAAAAATTTAAGTTTGGGACCAGTTTACGGCTGCAAAATTTTTAAGCATTTTAAAGTAAGAAATAAAAGCAGCAACTTTCAGGGCCACCAACGTGGGAATTTAAAATTAAGTAAAAGAGAAAATTCTTCGTTAAGGGCTCACGAGAGGTTATATTAACTGATAAATGAAAAAAGTTGTTCACCTTTGATTACTTAAGAAAGAAAAAAGGAAAGTTAAAGTTAAGACTTTTTTATATTTAATTAATAGATAATTAGAAAAGTAGCGTTTCATTATATATTATATTTTTTTTTACGTTTTTATTCGAGAGACCTCTGTAAAAATTATGGTTACAATGCAATGTAAAACACTCTTTGCTTTTTAAGGCTTACGAGAGGAAATATTATTCGCCCTTTTTCACGGCAACGCACGTGAGGAATTCATTAAGGCTTTCACTCTTTTGGGCATTTTCCATGAATAAAATTAAATAGAGGGAATTTGGCTGGAGGCGCAGCGAGGTCGATGACGGACGTGGGGAAGGCCCCGCGCGCAGCGCGAGGGCAATAGGGCGGCTCATTTACTTTGACACCGTCATTAATCAATTGCCTGAGGTTGAAGGTTTCACACTTTTGTCAGCTTAACCAAAAGAAGCGACAACTCGGCAGGTCCTATCAAGGGTCCGATAGGCCCCTCAGCATTAAAGGACGAGCGGTTCTTTCTCAATCTGCCCAACTTGCAGTGGCAGTAGAAAATGCACAAGGGCCAGAAATTGCCCTTTCAATATTGTTTCTCTCTGCAGGCAACGATTCCGACAACTGAGAAGGTGGTTGACTGTGAGAGGGAAGTGGGCCATGCCTTAAAAAGGCAGTAACTTTTGTGATAAATCATATCAAATTTTCAGAGACTCGATCCACGATAATAAAAAAAACAGAAGATATATATTTAAAAATAAAATTGTGAATTGTGGAATTAAAATGCCACTTTGCCACTTTCAATTTTACATGATCTGACTGATTGTGAATAAATTAATTGGTGATTATTTTTTAAATCAAATTTAACAAATGTGGACGAACTTCAAAATTATAGAGTTTCAAAGTCTTGCAATGAGGTCAAAGTTTAACGTTATATAGCTTCTATTGAAAGGTTTATAAAGTTTGTCGCCGAGAGGAATATTTTCATTAAAACCCTGCGAATTTTGGATTCGGTGAAGTTTGATATAAGAAAATTTGCAAAATTTATTTCTGGGCCGATTGCATTCATCATGAATCAAATATCACAAGGAAATCGAAACTTGTAGCAAACAAAATTGCATTCCGCCTGGCCACGGCTTCTTGCCCACATCACTTGGTTAATGGACAACATTTCATAAAATAATATCATTGCCCCTTTCCCATGCTATTCCGATTTAGATGGTGAGCAACGAGTAAAAATAAAATAAAAATACTGGCCGCAGTGTTAGCCAACTCAGGTGAGCATCTCGAGAGGTAAGATCTTGCTCGTATAACTTTGATTGGTCTGTTCCATTGACTAAATGTAAGCATAAATGCACTTGAAAATAATTATACGCACATAACTATATTCGACTGTTTTCTTCATAAAATTTTACAAAAAAAGAATAATTATTTTAATGATCTATTTCTTCAACGGTTTTTGGAACAATTGGAAATTCGGCCAAAATTAATCGTTTTCGACGCTTGAGTACATTGTCAGTGAGTGTAATCCACGTTAATTTGTCATGATTCACAAAAAAATTTAAATATAAAATGATAATTTGCGGCGCCATAGAATTTAAATTTCCAATTCCAAAATTACTTAGAGTACATATCAAGGCAAATAAATAATAAGAAAAAACTTACGTTTTGCCGCAATTATACTCAAAGCCGAGGAGTGTGAGCTCGTATTTGGCTTTCAGACTTTCCAGAGGCACTCAATCGTGACGGTGTAGGTCGTCCATACAAAAGACACCTGCAAAAGAATCATTTCAGCTTTGAGTATTACCGTATTACAAAAATATCTGTTTACTTTCAATTCTAGAACAAACTTGCAAATAATTGGTCAAATATTTTTAATTTGAGAACTACTCTTGTTATCCGTTATTTGGTTTTGCATGCAGACTGTTATTTTACTTAGTGCTGAGGATGCTGAAATCGGAAAAATGAGCAGAAAGGGTATCACGACTAGCAGAGGTCTGCTAAAACGCCTGACATCAAAAGAGACGCGGCCGCTGCGGCGAACCCACACTAAGACCAATGAATTAAAAAAAAATTTAAAATACTATATAAAACCTTGAAAGTAAAAATTACACAATTTAATATTTGCAAACGTTTTTAAATTGTTTAAAAATCTTTTTATAGCACAAAAAAAATTAAAATTTCAAAACAGTTTCATAATATTAGCTCCAGTGATGCTCTCATTAAATTAAATTATAATTACAAAAACTTTAATTACATTGGGTCTTATGGGAAAATGGGGTGATATGGTGAGAAGTCGCCCGAGACCGTCCGAGGTTGATGGACACATTCAAGGCCAATCGAGACCGAGGGGCAACCGTTACCCTTAAATATGTAGCCATTATGTCAAAATATGAGGTCGTCGGTTTGAGACCGTCGGAGGTCGTACTTGAGGTCGTTCGCGACCATGCATGGTCTCGTTTTTAGAAAAGTATTTCCTTGCGATTCTGGGATTTATTAAATTTATTATGAATATATTATGATATTCTCAGACCTCAGGCTCGTTCAAAGGATTTTGAAACGCGATACAGCGGTCACATAACCGACCCCTGCCTAATAACATTTTAACCACGGATTTCTTGTTATAATAAAAAAGCGTTGTGCACATTTTGAGTCAAAATGATGACAATACCAGACCAAACAAACCGGCAATCGAGTTCATTTAAATTATATTGACTACATAGTGGTCTCGCGGTGCCCTTTTTCCTTTTTTGGCTGAATTCATTTTAAGGCGTTATGGTCCGCCATGTTGATTTAATTGAAATTTAGATGAATTTTTAACATAAATCTAAAATAAATGGAGAAGACGTAAAATCACAAGAAAGTAATACCTCTGAGATATAGCTGCTATGAATGAGTTCGACTTTCCGCGATCAAACTTCCGCAAACTTCACCAAAGTGTCTGGATTTTGTTCTGGCTGCTCAAATGTCTTGGAGTCTCGGTGGTGCGGCCACATCGAAGGCCATCCAACGTTCTTGATCGGTCGAACGGCTCTGAACAGAGAGTTTCGCGAACTGATTAGAAAACGCACTTCGGGGGGTACTTCACAGAGTTCACAGTTTTATGTCTGCAAAAGTGCAGTGTCCGAAAATTGCATCCACTAGTCACGTCACAATTTTTGCGAATCACCCCGACACACGTTCTTCGCTGCCTTGTTTGTTGTGACTGACTGGACACTGGACTTTGGCCGCCAGTGGCGCCAGTGATCCAAGATCCAATCAGAAGAGGCAAATGGGCAAATCGCTTCCCAACCGCATTTGATTGGCGCTTACCGAGGAATTATTTGAATTGTTCGCGCGAAAACTCAGCAGTGTTGAGCAAAATAATTCCAATATTCCAAGACTTCCAAGAGGCCGAAATGAAATATTATATTAGTATGCCGTGATACTGTCGCTGTCTGATATTATTTCATTGCTATACTCAAAATAATTATGTAGATTAATCTACATAATTACATCATATCAAATATGAAAGATCCAAAAAACAGAAATAATAATTGCAATAATTGATCATATTTATTGAAACATTTTGCAACCTGCAAAATTCCCAAAATTCAAAGTATAAAATTAAATATATTTTCTTCTTGTTAATATTAAATTTGTTTAATTTATCAAATCGGTAAATTCGTCTTGCATTTATTGGTCGTTTTTAGTTTTTCACTACTCTTTTTATTTTCTTGACGTCTTGGGCTTTTTATAACAAATATAATATTTTGAAATTTTTATTACAGAGCACTTACTCTACTATGGTTCCACTCAATCCACCCCTGCAATTAGATTGAAATTATAAAACAGCATTATGTTTTGCAAACGCCTAATACCTTTATATGAATCCTCCTTTAATAAAACAGATAATACACACAATTAAAAATCAGATAAATAACTTATGGATAGTGTTGCACGATTTTTGAATTCAAAGAGTGTAACATTTTCGTCATGAATCGTTTGGAATTCACAAGCCGTGGTGGCCAGGTTGAGGGACCCAAGACCCAACCGACCTGCAACTGGCTCAAAAAGTCAAAATATAATTTTTTTCTCAACGATCAAGATTTTTTAGAATTAATTCAAGGTAGCTTATCCAAAAGAAAATCAAGCCGTTTTCAAATTGTAAATTATTCTTTAATGTGCTTTAATGGTACCATAAACTTTCAACATTGACAAGAAGTGCGCTTATTAGAAATCAAGCAATCATTTCAAAATTAACATCCAGCAGTAACATTTTTTGATGGAAAATTATTTTTGGAATCAAAATTAAAGTTCCAGTTCCCATTGGCTATTTTGAAAAGAAAAAATATATAGTAAAATTTAAATCTAAAGGTAATAGACATTCAGCATTAAGTAAGTAGTTTAAAAATAAATTATGAAGTCGTCACAGTAATGAAAGAAATTATAGTGCATTTAATTGGCTACATTTTTCCTAAAAGTTTTTCTTTTAGATATATATATTTTCTACATTGATAATGAAATGAAAAAAATACCAAAATATGATTTTATCCATAAGAAAATAAAATTTTAAGATTATTTCCCAAGATGTCCCTTGACAGTGTGCAGAATTACGGTGGACCACAGCCCTCGGCCGCCATCGAATGAACGACTTGCACTGCCGTTCATACTTTTGTTGTTTTTTCCAAAAAAGATGCTAATCTCCCATGATTCCAAAAATAAAAATTTCCATCTAACATCCTGATCAAAAATTAAGAGAAGGGATGAAGCAAAGCCATTCTTTGAGCTACAGCAGTGCAAATATCTTACAGATCTATATACAAAAGTGGTAGGTGAATGAGAGAAGGTCAATTGGCCTTCGTGTGGGGGCAAGGGTTATCGTTGTGGTGCTCAAACTGCTTCAATCAGTCCACTACAGAGCACCGTTAGGATCTCGGATGACGTTGACGAACCACTTGATGCAGCTTTTACTCAACCACTTTAAATTAATTGCACTCTGTCTATGACATTAAGAATGTCTTGTACTCGATCACTCTCAAGTTGGACAGGTAGTGTTCAACATCAAAGTACGGACCGTTGATCACGTTCGGCCTCAGAAAGGGCCGCTGAGGGTTGACGACATCTTCAAAGGTGGGATAAATGCTGATTTCCCGGAAGTCGTTCGGCGGCTGCTCGTACTTCATTTTCTCCACTTGTTCCATCCGCCGGTCATGCCAAGTTGGCTTCTTCGGGGCATTCACCTGCAGAGCTTCTACGTGGCCAACCAAACTCTTGTATTTTTGCAGCAACTCAGGTGCAACCTGGACACAGTCTTGACTACTGCTGATGCCATTCAGACTGACAAAGCAGCATTCGACGGTTTTCTTCAGCCCTGCTGCTGTGATTGGCAACATCTCCACCAAGGTTGTGAAGAACAGCGCAATGTTTTCTGCCACTTGAGTAAAGGTTGCGTGGTCTTTCATCGAACCGTTCAGCAGCATTGTTGGAAAGCAGTTCATGAAGTCAGGGTGGCATGTTTGATTGACCAGCATGGCCTTGTGCTTGTCGTATTCCGACTCGCAGACTTTCCGCAGAACGCAAAGAACAAGTTGAAAGTCGGAAAGATTTAACTCGCCCTTCACAAGTTCATCCCACTGGTCGCTTCTCGCAGCAAGCTGTTTTACCATCTGAAATAGAAAAAATGTAAAAAAAACATGTGTTCATAAATAAAAACAAATAAAAAATTGCAAGAATAACATATAGCTGTGTTGGTTAATTAAGATAATTAAATCCAACGTAATAAATATTACCATGAGCCCACACAACACAAGCACCAAGCAAGTTGCATAATTTACAGTTTTAAATCGATATTTACCTGAAAGCTCTGTAGATCCACCAGTTGCTAGAGAGTTTCAGCAAAGATTTTTCCCTGTTTTCTTGCCTTTGAAAATAGAGTCTCCCAACATGATTGCCATGAGAACCACCTCTTGGAACTGATCTGCTACTTGACATTGATCCACCTAACTAAAAAAAGTATGAATTATGTTATACTAAATTATTACATATAACTAAATTCCTGATATTTTTTTATTTTGTATAATTAGCAACAATATATGTTATTATATTAAACTTATATGTCAAATTGAAATGCTAATTTTAACTATCCATTTTTGGGCAGGAGAAGCACCACAATGAAGTTTTATATAATAAAAACAGATTCAAGTGGCTTGTGCTATTTGCGAATGATGAAGGTGTTCTTAAAATATCAAGTACTATTTTTTTTTTTTAAATATGTAATTTTCATTTTTTTTCTAATTCACGAAAACTGCCCTAAAAATTGGAAAATTGATCCGATTATGGTAAAAATTTATTTCTAGCACCTCCTTGATGTGTCTACTCGAATGATGTATCGCACATACATGCCTTTCCGGAATAGTTTTGTTTTTCTCAAAAGGGGTCGGGAAAATCGGCGATTGCGGAAAAACGGCTGAAGGAAAAGTTTTGAAATTTTAGGGGTGTCTTGCCAAAGAACCAAGCTACATTTTGGCTATTCAGACTTTCTTTTGCGGGTTAAAATCCCTGTGAAAAATAATAAGGCAATTTTTTACTTCACTTTGCCGGAAAATCAGCTAGTGTTGGAAAGTTAATATCCACAAAATAAAGATAGGAAATTTAATCGGCTTTTAGAATCACTTCAAGTTTTGTTACTAGCTCCCATAGAAGTTGAGAAATGGACCAAAATGTGGACCCCTTGTGAAAATGGGCAATTTTCCAGAAAATAACAAGTTTGAAAAAATTACGCTGTTGTTATGTTCAAGATCCACCCCTCCAGCAATTTGCAGATTTTTATCTTCAAGCGATCATTTTTTTGATCACTTTTTGCAAATAATAAATTGGTCAAGAAAAAAATTAGAAGGAAGCAAAATTTTGAGAATCTGGCCACGTCACGGTGTTCAGGGAGGTCGTTTACCCCTAAAAACATGTTTCACACTTCTACCCTCGAACACTCATTTTCCACTACATGGGAGCTCCCATAAAAGGCAACTTGGCACTATTTAGTTTTCCTGTAAAATCTATTGGATTTTCAAATATGCGAAAGTTCTCATTGTGCCCGCCAAAAACTTGTGAAGTTGGGCTTTCAGAATCTGCCGAGAAAATTAAATTTCGTCCAGCCGTTCGTTCGTGGCGGGCGTTTAAAAACCACGGATTACTTATGGGCCACCATGTGTGTTCATCTTTTCTCTATTCATATACTCTTAATTTATTTTTTAATTCATACATTTTTTGTTTCCATCCTCCAGAACTGCCAGCAGACTGGTGAGGGCGACTGGATCCATCTCTCCAAGATGTGGAAGCTATCAGATTGCGAGCAATTAACCAGAGCTCCATCCTGCTGAAATTATTTCTTTCCGCTTGGCCGGTGGCAAAATCTCCTTGGCATGAGTGTCCGCATTTCTAGCTGTGTGTATCTCATGACAAGCCTGTGTGCAATAAGAAAATTAAATTATTGCAATCAAAATACATACCAATTTCAGCTAGCCATTGGTTTTTTCCAAACAGAGCCATTTGATTTCGTGTCCACACTCTCCAACTTGCAATTCCACTACCTCCCGGCACTTTGTCGTGCATCCACAGGAGCACTTGGCTTTGCAAGTGTGTCCACAAGAAAGAAGCTTCTTGCACTGCTCTGCACAATCTTCCTTGGTTGCTTCTCGGCCGCAAGGCACCTTTGCAGAGTGGCCACACTCCGAAATGACCTTTTCCACCAACTGAGTGCAAGGAGAGCATTCGGTGGTGCACTTCTTTAAGCAACGGTGACCACAGACGAGCATTTTGGCACACATGTTGCGACACTCGATTCCCTCAGGGTCGATGTGACATTTTAAGTCAAATTGATGGCCACAGCTCCTCTTTACCTTCACCTGATAAAAGATCATTATTTTTTACATTAATTTTATCTATTAAATGACGAAACATAAATAAGGTTTAATTTAAATTAATTAACCTTTAAATTAAATGCAAGATACTAACAATAAATGCACTCAAGATCGCAATACCTGGATTTCGCAAACACCACATTCCTCCCAGCATTTCTTATTGCACGGATGATTTGATTGGCAGTCCTTGTTCATCTTTATGCATGGCTTGGTACAATTGTATTGAAGGTGGTCGGGATCAGAGTCCGTGTGGCACTTGCTGGTGCAGCTGTGACCGCAAGGTGCCTGCATGTCGCAGGGTTGAGGACACCTCTTGCAAGAACATGCAACCTCTGCCTCGTGGTTGCACTCGGGGAATTTCTTTGTCACGAATTCTGTGCAGGAGAAATGTTCTTCATCCGCATGACATCTCAACATTGCCTGGTGACCGCAGGGAAGATTTTTTTGCACCATTTCCATGCAACTTGATCCACACTTAACGAAGCACTTTTGCTTGCATGAGTGAAGCCCAGCGTCACATTTCCTCTCACAGGGTTCATCGCACTTGATTTCTTCATGCTTGATTTGCATCAAGTGGAAAAAATGCTTGCAAGTGTGGCCACAGTTGAGCAGGTTTTCACAAATCTTGTTGCAGCCGCCTTAAGGAGAAGGTGTCCTTTAGGCTCGACACTTTAAATTTTTATTCAGGATGAACTTCACATCTGAATTAAAAGTATATTGAAATTTAGGCTTATTTAAGATATTAAGAGGTTAATAATGTGATACTCTTTAAGTTGCAATAAAAAAAAGAGATTTAAAGCATTCTCCAAATGTATGATTTAAAATAATTATTTGCATATTTACCTATGAGTTAGAGAGGAATCCAGTGCGTTCTGATCTTCGATTGATTTTCGAACAGCCTTCCATGTCGAATTGATTGCAGAAAGAATTTCCGTGTCTCCCTAATCCAACTCTTCACATATTGATTGACCACCAATGCGCACTAAACTCTTGGTAAACCAGCATATTCCAACCAAAAACTGGTCCAGCCCGTGATTTGTGAGACAAACGACAAGAATGGGAGTTTTTCTTTTCATAGCTTGTTGGTTTCCGATCAGGATTTATGCAATTTTCAAAGCCATGAAAGTCTTGCCAGTGCCAGGCGGTCCTTGGATAACAGCAAGTTCTTTGGTCAAAGCAGCTTTCAGGGCTTTGTACTGAGAGCTATCTAGGCCCAGTTGTTCAGCATCAGGCCACGATGCATCATTCAAGATTGTCAGCTGGTATGAACCTCTTGTTCCTTTGATTTTAATCTGCACAGGTCCAGCATCGAGCAAATATGCTGGAGGTGCATCATCCTTTTGCACATCGATGAAGTATTTTGGGAATGGAAAGTTCCGATCATTCAAATTCTTCAGAGACCTGCGAAAAATTTAATTTTACATTACACAAAAATAATACAAATAGCTAATGCAAGTCACCTGGTTATAGGGATCAAAGAAAACTTCACTCTCAATCATGGTGTATTTGGCATTCTTATCGTAAATGTTTTCATCGTACTTCTCGCAAAAGGTCACCAAGATTTGCTTCTGCCTAAGAAACTTCACATCTCGGCTGCTGACTGTGGCAAAGAGAAGTGTCTGGAAGCAGTTTCGAGTGAAACAGAGCAGGGCGCCGTGCATGAACTTCTTGGTTTGCTCCCAGTTGGTCCTCTGGAATCGTCTGCTATTTGTTGACGTATCAAAACACAGCAATGTGCCTTCGTTCAGCACTCTTGTGCCTTCAATTTCCCTCACATATTTGATGAACTGCACATCGTTGTATACTCTGACTGACAGCGACTCGCACTTCTTGCTGTCGGTGCCCTTGAGAATGTCCTGCACTCCTTCTCGAAGAGGTCGAACAAAATCTTCTCGCAGCAGACGGTACTGCGTGTCCAGGTTGTGTTCAACATCAAAGTACGGACCGTTGATCACGTTGGGCCTCAGAAAGGGCCGCTGAGGGTTGACAACATCTTCAAAGGTGGGATAAATGCTGATTTCCCTGAAGTCGTTCGGCGGCTGCTCATACTTCATTTTCTCCACTTGTTCCATTCGCCGGTCGTGCCAAGTTGGCTTCTTCGGGGCATTCACCTGCAGAGCTTCTACGTGTCCGACCAAACCCTGGTATTTTTGCAGCAACTCGGGTGCAACCTGGACACAGTCTTGACTACTGCTGATGCCATTCAGACTGACAAAGCAGCATTCGACGGTTTTCTTCAGCCCTGCTGCTGTGATTGGCAACATCTCCACCAAGGTTGTGAAGAACAGCGCAATGTTTTCCGCCACTTGAGTAAATGTCGAGTGGTCTTTCATCGAACCGTTCAGCAGCATTGTTGGAACGCAGTTCATGAAGTCAGGGTGGCATGTTTGGTTGACCAGCATGGCCTTGTGTTGGTCAAAATCTGATTCGCAGACCTTTCGAATGATGCGAAGAACAAGTTGAAAGTCGGAAAGATTCAACTCACTCTTGACAAAGGCATCCCACTGGTCACTTCTCTCAGCAAGCTGTTTTACAACCTGAAGTATAAAAAAAAAGAATTCATGCATTAATATTTAAAACCCATTGCAAGAAATAGTTGTGTTGGTAAATTAAGATATTAAACCCCTGACATAATAAAGAATACAAACCCGCACAACATAAGCACCAAGCGAGTTGCATAATTTACAGTTTTAAATTGATAATTATTTACCTGAAAGCTCTGTAGATCCACCAGTTCCTGCAGAGTTTCAGCAAAGTTTTTTCCCTGTTTTGCCTTCTGAAATTTGTGTTTTCGAACATCATTGCCATAATTGAGTGTAGTCTGCTTGCCACGTGAATCACCTCTTGGAACTGATCTGCTACTCGGCATTGATCCAGTAACTATAAAAAAAAGTATGAATTACGTCAAATCAAATTCTGAAATTTTTAATTTTTATAACTAGCAAAGATGTTATTTTATTAAATTTAAATGTCCATAAAAGTACCTATCACTGTGTCTTTTCAATTTGGCTAAATACCTGGTTGGTCAGCGTGCAAAGTAGCTAAATGCCAAAATGTCCAAATGCCATACTTTTTTTGAGAATTTTAAAACCCAAAGAAACCACTCAAAAGGCGTTTAGTCATAAGTACTAAATGCCATACTGATTTGACCAAAATCAATCCCGCCGTGAAAATGGGCTCCTGGTGAGTTATTTCAACCCAAGAAAATGTGGCATAAATATATTTTTGTGGAAAAGTTATTTAAATTTTTCATTAATATAATGTAGCCCTGCAAGCAAAGGCATCTTAACACTGCATATGGATATATTAGGAAATAATCAGAATTGATGATGAAACCAATTTGAATTTTTTTAAAAATTTTGTTCATGATGGGGCTTTTTTCCATTAAACATGCATTTTCAGGGTCAAAAAAATTTTAAATCAATTATATGAAGTTGAATACAAGGGTTTATTTCGAGACCCATATCCCACATCTCAGCAGCAGATCAAATATTTAAAAAATTGCTCAAAAGTCAATTTTCGTTTTTTAAGTTAAAAAATCAATTAATAACACGTTTTGTTTGAATTTTATATTTTTTTTATGAATTTTTTTCAAGTAGATATTTAGAAAACCAATAAATTTTGAATTCAAACAACTCATTTTTCTAAAAGAACATATTTTGGCGGTCATTTTCACTATTTAGTTTTTGATTTTGGACTTTTAGTTACCGAGACACAGACCTAATTACAATACTTCACTCAACATAAACTTTCGGCAAAAGAACATTAATTTTGGCCTAGAAAATTAAATTTTCATATATTTATATTTTCAAAATCAAATTCTTGCGTCATAAATATGAACAAAGGTATTTTTTTAAATTATTTTTTATTTTGATGATATTTTTGTATCCTAAAAATATTAGTTTCTCTTCACTTTCATTGGCTTTAACATATTAAAGTTTAATTTAAGTATCCATTAGTAATTTTTCATCAGCATTTTTTCAATAGGCAAGCGCCAGACACTCAAAATTAAGTTTAAGGATCTCGCTCCGCATTTTCCCTCTCCTGTAAAATCGAGTTTGATGTATTTAGGCAATTTGCACGCTGACCAGCCAGGTATTTAGCTATTTTGCTTTTGCCAAACTAAGTATTTAGCCAGATTGAAAGGACTTCCAGCGCTTTCCATTTTAGGGCACGAAGCACCACAATGAAGTTTTAATATAAACATATTTGAGTGGCTCGTGCTATTTGCGAATTATGAAGTTGTTCTTAAAATACAACAATTTTTTTTTTTTAAATATGTTGTTGATTATTTGCCAACATTTTTATTACCAACATAGTTAAATTTTTATGTAAATTTTCACAACGCTTTCCTAATAAGTGTGTTCATCTCTTTCTCTATTTAAAATCTTAATATTTTTCTTTAATTCATACATTTTTTTTGTATCCATCATATTCATACCTAATCCTCCAGAAATACGAGTAGACTGGTGAGGGCGACTGGATGCTCCACTCCAGGGTGTTGATGTATTCAGATTGCGAGCAGCCAGAGCTGCTGCCTGAGTTTTCCACGAGCCCGCTGATGAATTATTTCTTTCCGCCCGGGGCCGCTTGGCCGGTGGCAAAATCTTTGGCTTCTCACCTTCCTCCATAGTCAATCTGTGGAAGGAATTGATTTTTTTTTATAATTTTAATCAAAATATTTTATATTATCAGAAAAATTATTACTGATTTTTGAACCAAAGTTGTAAAAAATAGAAGAAACAGTAAATATGGAGAATATAACTACATTATTATCTCTGGACAACGCAAAACGTTGAAAAATATGTTATTTATTTCATAAATTAGCATCGCTATATTTAGACTATTTTGTTAAAAAAAAGGGGGGAAATATAATTATCAATATTTCAAAGGCCGCGCATCAGCTCTATTATGTTGGCCAAAAAAAAGATGTCTTCAGCCCGAGCCATAAGGCCCCATGGCTCTGACGGCAGCCGTGTACCAACATAATTTTGGGATGCGCGGCCTTTGCAATATTTTAGCAAAATATAATCTTGCATAAAAGAAATAAAATTATAAAAATTTATTGAGATAAAATGGATGAATTACGAGTTAGAATTTCCTGACGATGGATCAAAATTAGGAGGCACATGTGATCGCGCATTTGGTGAAAAACCAATTTTTAAGTTATGGTGCGGGGTCACATTCTAGAGCGTTTGATACAAAATTACAAATTTGCCGCCAACCGGACATTAAATAAAACGTAATTGCACAAATAATTACTCTATTATTCACTCTAAATAGCATAATTAATGCAATTCTCTACGCTCAAGCAAAATTTAATACATAATTATGGTGCGACACGTTAGATGCGGATAAGGAAATGTTCGCAAACCCTGTGTCGACTCGTCGACTACTGAGAGGGCGAGTGTAATTTCAATTTCAGTGAAAATTACAATTAAAATTATGTACATTTTACAAGGTACTGCGGCTTAGCTCACGCCTTAAAACGTTGAATAATAAGTTCAAATTAGAAAGAATTTATAGTCTAAAAGATTCTCACGCACTTCTTTGCAAATAAAATCTTTGACGGCAGAGTTTAAATTTGATATGCATGAAATTAATTACCCCTACGAAATCCTAGCTAGAGCTCTCGTCCGTTCTGCTCAAGTGTTTTCTGCAGACTGCATTGCTTGATGATCGGCTCGTCGCCAATTCTTACGTCCCTTTCTTGCTACTTTCCTGCTAAAAACGGGGATGAACGGAGTAGAGATAGAGAATGATTGTTTTGCTTTTCCTTGGGGCGCTATTTGGCTGTCGAGTCTGGTCTGGTCGCAATCCCCAATCCCGAGTCGAGACACTGGAGACGCAGGCAGATTTGCCGCCGCCCGGCGAGATCAACGAGAGTGGGGGGTCGGGTTGCGGGACGCGCTGTTGCCTATGTCAGGTCGACGTTGCATTTTGCATTTTTTTTCTGCTCGATCTCGGTTTTGTATTGTTTTGTCGTCGTTTTAAAATTTGTTTCTATTGAAAAAAAATGTAACGGCTCTACTATTCATTATGTCTATTCGGGCACGGTCTGCGTCTGCGACCCCATTTCATGAAAGGAAAAATACAAAATATGCAAAATATTGCTTTAGGCCAATAAATACCACCACATTGATATTATCATGTTAAATTATTTACATAAATATTAATACATAATATTATACATACTAATGTTTTCTTTTTATTCCGGGTTTTCTTCCTTATCATCATGAGAATAAATCTACAAAATCTTGATGGAAATTTATTTTATTTTTTAGGCTAAATATATTTGTAAATCAACACCAGCGTGTTCATAGACGTAAGGCAAAAAAACTATTTAAAATGAAATTAATCTTTGAAATTATCAAACAATTTGGTTCAAAACACAGCGTATAATTCATGAGATAAGACAGAGTTCCGCAAATTTTAGTCTATCCTGATAAATACTACCTAATTATCAATTTTTAGCGTGTTGATAGACGAGAAGTAAAAACCCAAAAAAATTATTATTAAGAAAACAATAATATTGAATATTATTGTACCGAACAGTCATGTATCGCTTGCTAATACGCAAGAGCCTAAAACATAGCAATATTTCTGATTAAAAGTTTAAAAAAATGATAATTCTATCACAGGTCTAATCAACACCAGCGTGTTTATAGACGTAAGGCAAAAAAACTATTTAAAATCAAACAAATCTTTGAAATTATCAAACAGTTTGGTTAAAAACACAGCGTATAATTCATGGGAGAAGAAATTGTTCCGCAAATTTTAGTCTATCCTGATAAATACAACCTAATTATCAATTTTTAGCGTGTTGATAGACGAGAAGAAAAAACCCTCACCCCTAATTATCAATTTTTAACGTGTTGATAGACAAGAAGCAAAACCCCTAAAATTTCATTATAAAGAAAACAATAATATTGAATATTATTGTACCAAACAGTCATGTATCGCTTGCAAATACGCAAGAGCCTAAAACATAGCAATATTTCTGATTAAAAGTTTAAAAAAATGATAATTCTATCACAGGTCTAATCAACACCAGCGTGTTCATAGACGTAAGGCAAAAAAACTATTTAAAATCAAATAAATCTTTGCAATTATCAATTAGTTTGGTTAAAAACACAGCGTATAATTCATGAGAGAAGAAATAGTTCCGCAAATTTTAGTCTATCCTGATAAATACAACCTAATTTTCAATTTTTAGCGTGTTGATAGACGAGAAGCAAAAACCCAAAAAATTATTATTAAGAAAACAATAATATTGAATATTATTGTACCGAAAAGTCATGTATCGCTTGCAAATACGCAAGAGCCCATAATAGAGCAATATTTCTGATTAAAAGTGTAAAAAAATGATAATTCTATCACAGGTCTAATCAACACCAGCGTGTTCATAGACGTAAGGCAAAAAAACTATTTAAAATCAAATAAATCTTTGAAATTATCAATTAGTTTGGTTCAAAACACAGCGTATAATTCATGAGAGAAGAAATAGTTCCGCAAATTTTAGTCTATCCTGATAAATAAAACCTAATTATCAATTTTTAGCGTGTTGATAGACGAGAAGCAAAAACCCTAAAATTGCATTATTAAGAAAGCAATAATATTGAATATTATTGTACCGAACAGTCATGTATCGCTTGCAAATACGCAAGAGCCTAAAACATAGCAATATTTCTGATTAAAAGTTTAAAAAAATGATAATTCTATCACAGGTCTAATCAACACCAGCGTGTTCATAGACGTAAGGCAAAAAAACTCTTTAAGATCAAATAAATCTTTGAAATTATCAAACAGTTTGGTTAAAAACACAGCGTATAAGTCTTGAGAGAAGGAATTGTTCCGCAAATTTTAGTCTTTCCTGATAAATACAACCTAATTATCAATTTTTAGCGTGTTGATAGACGAGAAAATAAAACCCAAAAATATTATTATTAAGAAAACAAAAATATTGAATTTTAATTTACCGAACAGTCATGTATCGCTTGCTTATACGCAAGAGCCCATAATAGAGCAATATTTCTGATTAAATTTTAAAAAAATGATAATTCTAACACAGGTCAAATCAACCCCAGCGTGTTCATAGACGTGAGGCCAAAAAACTATTTAAATTCAAGAAAATCTTGAAAAATATCAAAGAGTTTGGTTCAAATTACAGCGTGTAATTCATAAAAGAAGAAAAAGTTCCGCAAATTTTAAAGACAAACCTTTAATATCCGGATAAATTTGACCTAATCATCAATTTTTAGCTTGTTAATAGACGAGAAAATAAAACTGCACAAATATTTAATAAGAAAAACTTAAAATTAAAAATTATCGTACCGAACTGTCACGGATCGCTTGCAAATACACAAGAGCCTAAAATATAGCAAAAATTCTAACAAAAAGTTAATAAAACTGATCAATCTAACACAGGTCAAATCAACCCCAGCGTGTTTTTAGACGTAACGCATAAAATCTATTTAAAATCAAATAAATCTTTGAAATTATCAAACAGTTTGGTTCAAAACACAGCGTATAATTCATAAGAGAAGAAAAAGTTCCGCAAATTTTAATGAAAAACCTTTAATATTCGGATAAATTTGACCTAATCATCAATTTTTAGCTTGTTAATAGACGAGAAAATAAAACCGCACAAATATTTAATAAGAAAAACTTTACATTAAAAATTATCGTACCGAACTGTCACGGATCGCTTGCAAATACAAAAGAGCCTAAAATATAGCAAAAATTCTAACTAAAAGTTAATAAAACTGATCAATCTAACACAGGTCAAATCAACCCCAGCGTGTTCATAGACGTGAGGCAAAAAACTATTTAAATTCAAGAAAATCTTTAAAAATATCAAAGAGTTTGGTTCAAATTACAGCGTGTAATTCATAAAAGAAGAAAAAGTTCCGCAAATTTTAAAGACAAACCTTTAATATCCGGATAAATTTGACCTAATCATCAATTTTTAGCTTGTTAATAGACGAGAAAATAAAACCGCACAAATATTTAATAAGAAAAACTTCACATTAAAAATTATCGTACCGAACTGTCACGGATCGCTTGCAAATACACAAGAGCCTAAAATATAGCAAAAAATTTAACTAAAAGTTAATAAAACTGATCAATCTAACACAGGTCAAATCAACCCCAGCGTGATCATAGACGTGAGGCAAAAAAACTATTAAAATTCAAGAAAATCTTTAATAATATCAAACAGTTTGGTTCAAAACACAGCGTATAATTCATGAGAGAAGAAATATTTCCGCAAATTTTAGTCTATCCTGATAAATACAACCTAATTATCAATTTTTAACGTGTTGATAGACGAGAAGCAAAAACCCAAAAAATTATTATTAAGAAAACAATAATATTGAATATTATTGTACCGAAAAGTCATGTATCGCTTGCAAATACGCAAGAGCCCATAATAGAGCAATATTTCTGATTAAAAGTGTAAAAAAATGATAATTCTATCACAGGTCTAATCAACACCAGCGTGTTCATAGACGTAAGGCAAAAAAACTATTTAAAATCAAATAAATCTTTGAAATTATCAATTAGTTTGGTTCAAAACACAGCGTATAATTCATGAGAGAAGAAATAGTTCCGCAAATTTTAGTCTATCCTGATAAATA